CCAGTGTTTTAACATCACAGCAGTTAATTTCTTCTGGTAGTATCTCTTCATGCATCGTTCATTATTGTGCGCCTCTTCCGGGGAGTCAGGCTGTTCCGGTACGCTTGGGATCTCTCCCTTTGCTTCGCCTTCTTGGCAGACTGTTGACGCTCATTAAGGCAGGAAGATTTCCTGGACGATGGTCCATCGGCTGCCTGGTTTGAATCTGCCGCTTTCTTGTTTGCCCTATTTAGAAAAATAAGTAAAAAAGAAAAATTCAGCCCAAAATCTAAATGGAATGAATTAAAACAGGCATAAGCTCCCGCGTGGGCAGAGCCCAAAATGGAATGAATGTAATAGATTAAAACGGGCATAAGCTCCCGCACGGGCAGAGCCTAAAGTGGAGTGAATGCAATAGATTAAAACGGGCATAGCCCAAAGAGGAATGAATGTAATATTAAAATGAGCATAAACTCCCTTGCGGGCAGAGCCCAAAGTGGAATGCATGAAAAAGATTAAATCGGGCATAATTTTAAGCTCCCGCGAGGGCAGAGCCCAAAGTGGAGTGAATGCAATAGATTAAAACGGGCATAGACCAAAGAGGAACGAATATAATATTAAAACGGGCATAAACTCCCGCGCGGGCAGAGCCAAAAGTGGAATGAATGTAATAAATTAAAACGAGCATAAGCTCCCGTGCGGGCAGAGCCCAAGTGGAATTAATGTAATAAATTAAAACGGGCATAAGCTCCCCCGCGGGCACAGCCCTCACAAAAGATTTCTGGAAAACAAAACGCATCGTGTAATCAGATTAAAAGTAAAATGATTGGGTATTGGCCACCATGCGGGAACAGCAATTTGAGCAAAACTGAAATTGGGGCAGGATTTACAGCCTGTGAGGACCCCTTTTCTTAGAAAAGCCATTTTTATATAAAAGTGAAAAAGTGAAAAAGTACCCACCTGCTTTTCCTATTGCGTACAGCAGCCTTTACATTTGATAGCACCCTCTGCTCTGCAGTCATAAGACGACGCCTTTCTTTTGACCTTTGGCGCTCCCACTGCAAATACTCCTCGTGACGTACAGCATCTTCCTTCCTTCGTTGTCTCTAAAGCCTAGCTCTCTCTGTACTAGTCAAAGGTGCCTTTTTAGACTCCAAGGGGGCCTCCACAGCGACAGGCTTCATCCGAACTCTTAAGGCTGAAACCATGGAACCAATAAAAGCATTTGTATGAAATGGCAACAAAATGTTTGCATGCAATTAATAGACTGTGGTAGTAATGAAACTGCAACTCTGCATACTAACTGTCAAAATGTTATTATACCCAGAATCGTACGTAACAAAATTCTTTTCATCCCAAATGAAATTATATCATATCAAATAAAAGAAAGAGTGAGTCTGTTCAGCTAATATCTAGTACATGGGAAAAGAAGCATTTGATTGAAAGTTCAGGTCCTCTGTAATGATGCAAATAAATATAATGTAGACTAGAATTAATGTTCGAAATACACAACTAAATTTCATTGACCACATGACCAAACAGTCCACAACAAACCCAAACCCAGTGAATGAATACTCAATATATTCCACTTACCATAAGATTTTCGGGTTCTGTCATTGTCATCTCCATTTATGGTGAAGCTTGTGTCCTGTTCCCCTAAAATCTCAGTAGGGGTTGAAATGGAAGAGCCTCCCCTTCTGTTGCTGCTATCTTTTTGGTTCTGGGTAGGCCTATGATTTTTTACCTGTTTTGGGAGGAAAGCGCTTTTCTTGCTCTCATCTCCTAGGTTCTGGGTACCGGGTAGGCCGATGATTTTTTATTGGTTTTGGAAGGGAAGATCTTCCACTTCTGTTACTGTCATCTTTAGATATCTCAGAGCAGCCTGTGTCCCGATACTGGGATATTGTTATAGGCGCTGAAAAGGTAAAAATCTGTTCGTTGTCACCATCTTTCCAGTTTCCATGGCTTGGAAAAACAAGATTATTCAATTTTGTCACCTATAGTTCTACTTTTCATGGTGCACTCCATGAAGCAGCCTGTCTGCTGCTGGTGCTGGTACCTTTGAAAAACAAAAAAAGAAAATTGAATTTACTGGCACCGTCATGTCTTTATTAGAATACACAAATAGTATTGGTATCAATCCAAGCTCAAAATGAAAATACCCGTTGCTACTGCGCGGGCATAGCCCAAAAATCAAACAGGAATGGTATTAGGGATATACTAAAACGGGCATAAGCTCCCGCACAGGCGAAGCCCAAAATCCAAGTGGAATATATGATATTATATATTAAAACGGGCATAAGCTCCCGCGCAGGCAAAGCCCCAAATCACAGTGAAGCGAATAATATTAAAACGGGCATAAGCTCCCGCGCGGGCAAAGCCCAAAATCCAAGTGAAAAATAGGATATTATATGAAAACGGGCATAAGCTGCCGCACGGGCCAAGCCCAGAACCAAAGTAAAGAGAATATTTCGTCGTGAACAACATATGGATACACCCGTGAGAAATACTCATTCATTAAATCTTGAAAAAGCAGTCACGGTAAGAATATATTTTAACTACCATAGTATTTGACCTTCAAAATCTCTATTATTTATAATGAGACAGTTTAATATTAAAACAAATCTGGATTCTTCATATATTGTGATGGTTGTATTACAGAGACAAAAAAGAAATGTCATTCAGAGCAGCAACAGATGCAACCGTGTCAGAATGCATGTTTATGCAATATTTTTTATATCTCTATCACATAAAAGATGGTTCATAAAAAGGTCTGACCAGATAAGTTGCGGTAAAACCTAAATGACATTCTTGAATGAGCTAGATTCTATCTAAGAGATAATTTGTCTTCTGGATGTTCTGGTTGTATCACAGAGACGAATTTAAGAATGTCACTCATTCCAGCAATGGATGCCACCACAACAGAATTTTCTTATTTTTTTGAATATCTATATAATATTCAACCTCTCACGCGAAAGAAGCATTGATAAAAAAAATGACTAGGTAGAAACTTGTCATAAGACCTAAATAAGATGTTTGTATACGAGTTAGATTTATCTGAGAGATATTTTTTCTTGTGGAAGTTCTAGTTGTATCAAAGAGATGAAGGATGAATGTCCCACGTTCCAGCAACGGATGCCACCACAACAGAATTTTCTTATTTTCTAAAATCTATGTATAATATTCAACCTCTCATGGGAAAGAAGCATCATTATAAAAAAGACTAGGTAGAAACTTGTCATAAGACCTGAATAAGATGTTTGTATTGAGCTAGATTTATCTGTGAGATATATTTTTTCCTTGTGGAAGTTCTGGTTGTATCAAAGAGACGAAGGAGGAATATCCCGCATTCCAGCAATGGATGCCACCACAACAGAGTTTTCTAATTTTTCTAAATATCTATACAATTCAACCTCTCACGTGACAGAAGAAACATAGAAAAACTGACAGAGATAGAAACTTTTGAAAAGACAGAAATTAGATTTTGTATATGAGCAAGAATTTATCTAAGAGGTGTATTTTCTTACTGGAAGCTATGGTTGTATCACAAAGACATGAAGATATTGACACCCACTGCCGATATAATACACCCATCACAGAAGTCTATAATTTCTCTTTTTTAAAACTCCAAATGTACTATTTTTACACCAAAAAATTGAAGCTCAACACTAAGGATAATACTGACAGATAGCGAGGTTGAAAAAACAAAGAAACAAATAAAAAATAGAAAAATGAACGGTATTTTGTGATGAGTGTATTGGGGGCGACATCATTACGTGTCGCCCCATGGTCACTTTTATGCTATTTTTTCCACGTTCAATGTAAGCATCGTGCCCTCATTAATAGCTTATTGCGTTCTCAGTGAAGTCACAGTTTGTACAGATCGATTAAACTTATTTAACACAAATACGATACCATTTACTTTAAGTAATTTGTAAAATATACATTTAAAAAGTGATGGTTGTTTTAAACTTACCTTTACGTTGTGGGCGTATTGCTCTCCATGAAGTGTGTCTGACAACTGACAATCGACAACTCACCTGTGGTCACGCGTCTTGCGACCACGAGACTTCCGCATTTGAATACAAAAGTCGAAACAGTTTCCTTTCGTACTATTATAAAATACGAAAAGAGAACACAACGAAATGAACCGAGTACGTTGTGGTCTCTTAAAAAGTTTCGACATCATAGGATCAGCTTGTAACGAGACAATTTTTAAGTTGTTCCGGACAATAAGTATATTGATATTTTGCCTTTTAGCGTGAATGCAAGAAGTTCCAATGTCTATATAAGTTGAAAACGGATCTTTCATTCCACTCCCTCGCCGTAAGAGGAGTTTTTTCGTTAACGGCGATTTTACTCGACACACAATACATCCAAAACGCAAATTTTTAATAGGGCCCTACGGACAGTGTGTCGGGACAAAATGAAAAGTGAAACACGCAAGAGACATGCCAAGCCTCCCTTTCTACAAAGAAACGAGAAAAAGTGTGAAAGTCCATGTTTTCTTTTATTAACACTCTGGTTCTTTTGGCCTGTGGACAGAGCGACTACTTTACAAGTAAAAAAAACATACAATTCATGGACATTTTACAAGGTAACAAAAACAAATAGAAAGATACACCAAAATGCTATCACACATTATCTCTTTGGGTATTCTTTAGAGATACCGTGCACAAAAAAAACAAGTAGATTTAGTCATTAAAGCAAGTTTGGAGGGTTGTTAAAAACCCAATCCTCGTCACGCCTGGTGTGGTCGACGTTTTGGCAATGGCTCATATGCTTACATTATACAGTATAAGCAAGATAGGAGAAAGAAAAAGTGAAAGAAAGAGAGAGAAATAAGATCTTCTGGTGGTGAACCCCCCAAACCATGTACTGTATAAAAAAAATACCTCTAAACCTACCTCAGGCAAAGCTTTTGACAGCTCGTCCCTAAGATCCTTAAAGTCAGTAGCAATAAACACTGCGCTAGCTCCGATTCTCAGTACCTCTTTCTTGACCTAGCAAGAGAATAAAATGTGTGAAAGGGAGAAATGAACATGTAGCACAAAAATGTGAGGTGGCCTAGGAAAACAAGAAACCTTAATTAAGAAAACAAGAAACATAGTTAAAATTTTCATCCCCCCTACAACATGAAACTGCCTTCTGACCTGTTCGGTGATGGTTTTAGCTGATGGGAAGCACATCTCATGAGTGGTGGGCCCGTACTGGCCTCGCTCACCCACACACTGCTTGGCTGCAAACATGTTGGGGGACGTGGTGACATGCTCACAGGCCCTCTCCTGTGGGAAAAAATAATGTTGATTACTTTACAATGAAACATCGATTGCATACCATCTTTTAATGTTGGATAAAATACAAGATTTATTATACAACAGGTGCTCATATTGGATGAAACAAATATTTATAAAATATCAAGATCTCAAGCAGGAGGACAGAAAACATTGATTTAAAAACAACTTCTCCTGTTGGTTCTTCATAGGAAGACATACGGCCAGCCTTCACTTTCTGCAATGCCATGAGCTGCATAGCATTATAGTATTTAAAGCAAATACGTATTTGCAAACAGTTTATATTATATCTGCTGTTTGACTAATAAATATTTCCCTACCCAGCACTCAATGACATCAGAGTAGATCTGCTGGGTAAACCTTACACGTACACAATACTTTACAGTGTAGAAAAAAAGCCTCCAACAGCCCCTTCATATGGCATTGGATGAAAAGCCATTGAGGCGTTGAAACAGTAACAACAAAAAGAACAACATTTCCAAGCTTCTACTTAGCATACTGAACAAAGTCTCACAATGGACAATACTTTGCAGTAGCACAAATGTTAAAATAGAATAAGCAGTGCACATTTCATCTTGGCCTTTTAAGTCTAAGACTATCAAACTTACAAAGTCTGGTCCATTGCGCAAATGGATGCCAACAAATGGGCCTTCTGGAATGTTCTTTTTGATGAACGCTGATGCCTGTTCTGCATATGTCTCTGACCACTTGACGTATCGCTGCAGTTTGGCGTTGGCAGATGTCACAGGGAAGGCGGCTGGAGGTCCCACAAATGCCCAGACTGGGTACTCAGAGCTGGGAAATCTGGCACAGGGAAATAAAACATTATACAGTACTTTTTATATATCCATATTTCTTCTCCTCCTTCAATATTCAAATATTTTCAGTCTGGACCCAAAATACCATTTCGGTATATATATATATGTAAAATTTGTTTCTCAAAATGTATAGAACCAGTTCTGTCTTGCTCATTTATCTGGTCCTACTCATGGCTCATGGTTCATGTATGGATAGTTGGAGGATGTTATTATAAAGATTTTCCCCATCTCCCAAACAGATAGTATATATTTAGACTTCTTAGATATACCGATAACAGCCCCAGAGGTCCCCTGTACTTGTTCAGCACAAGTAATTCATCTCAGAAGATGAAAGTTGAAATGGCTCAAATAAGAAAAATCTCTGGTCATTTAATATAAAAAATAAAAACTTTGAAAAGATGTATACAGGATTCCCTGAAAGGTGGGGAGGACTCTTCTTGAAGGGAAATAGGCCATATATGTAGGCTTTCTACAAGAAGAACAGGTAGAGGCTACTAGCCCCAACAGTCAAGTACCCTTGGTTAGGGGAATGCAGAAGAAGAGAAATGAAGCAAAGTTGTTAACAAATCTGTGTTGCTCTGTGAAGCACTTATTACTTTTAAAATCCCATGTGTTTTGATGAACGAGTCTTGTTTCTTGTTGTTTGTTTTTGTAAATTGTTTTACGGCGCTCGCAACTGCATAAGGTCATAAGAGCGCGCGGGACACATATAATATTTTCAGTTGGTAGGAAATTTCGAATTTTGCCAGGGTGGCGGCCGAAGCCTACTTTATTCGATTTTAGACCACCAAGGGATCTTTAACGTGCACAACTTGCACATGGGCCCTCCGAGATTTTTCGCCCTTGTCCAAGAAGGCTATGTAGATCTTTCCTACCAAAAGATCAGGTGTGTGGCAGAAAGACAGCAGTAAGGAGGAGCCAAGGAGTAGCAGTAGAAAGGCTGCAGAAAGAGTCAGGAGCCCAGAGGAGGGGGAAAGGAGGTGAGGGGGTGGGGGCAGAAAGTGGAAATGAAAGCAGACAACAGAACATTGCTAGAGAGCAGGAAAGGAGGTGAAAGGAGACAATTTTAGAGAAGAAAATTTTTCGGTCACTACCCAGATTCGAACCCGGGACCTTTGAATGAGAGGCCAACATCTTAACCTCTAGGCCACGAGAGTCCCCTGAACAAGTCTAGGGACAGAACTAGTGAGGTCTGTTAAGTAATAGGCATTCTGTTTACTGAATGCAGAAGATGAAGAAAGTGATTCATATGATGGATGGGGTACAAAAAAGTCATAATATTGATCTAGAAATGTAAGTCAGTGGCAAGTGCTGACCTTCTTCTCCACTCCTCCATCTCTTTGGGTCTGTGGGTGTCGTAAAACAGCGGCTCGTAAAGCACCGACCCACGAAAGTCGATGTTGAACCAGTCCCAGAAGGGACCAAATGGGTTACCGTCCTTGGCGTTGCATTCAGCACCTTTGTCTTTGCCATGCCGAGCCATATAGCAGAAAGCTGTAGAGGGGTTAAAGATTATATATATAGAGAAACAAATGATATGCAATAGCGAAAGATCTTGTCATTTTGCTAGTACTTGGGTGTTGAACTGACTGCTCCGACAGTATGCTTCTCAGGAAGCCAAAAGTGTTTCTGAGAGTTCTAGGGTCTGCTGCGGTAATAAAACAGATTCCAAAGTGCATAGAGCTTTCTGTTGAGTGGGGATACACACTATGGAAATATTATTTATTATTACGTAGTTTTGACAGAGTGAGTTATGTACATGAAAATTAAAAATAATGCAACAACAAAATCTTCAAATATGAACTAGAAACTTTTTTCAGGGATCAATCCATGTAAACTTTTAGGACTGCAACAAAAGAAACAAAATTTTCTTAAAATTTCCTTTGAGCAACATATATCTTATGCTATTCATTTGAGAATGTCTAAGTATATACAACACGTACCGTCTGCAGACGTTACAGTTTTCAGATTAGTAGTAACAAAGTTTGCCTTTTGATACTAGTGTTAACAACACAGTCACAGTTCCAACATAATCATTAAATCTAACATGATGCAAGATCAAAGTTACATTTTCTCTTCTCCGGTGGCCACACAGTATCGGCAAGATCTTGCATGAATGTCTCCATAGTGGTGACACGATGGTATTCCTGGAGAGGACCCACTTGGAAGTACGAGTCAAACGGCTCCATCACCTGCAGACAGGATAACGCAAAATGATCTGTTCATTCATTTGAGGGACTAATAATAACGACAGCTGAATGGATTATGACGGCTTGTCCACCATGTCAGGGGCCGAAATAATATAATTTATGACAATGTGTCCGGGGATGAGAGATTTATATGGCCATCTTAGACAGGTTTTTTTGGTAGCTGGTTGATAAAATATTGTGGCCATGGAGGACAGGTTATCGTTTAGCACAGTGCTATTATACAGAAAAAATACAAGACGGTAAATGGAAAGTGGCCCCCTTGTACAGGAGGCTGTCTTATACAGGTGGCCATCATGGCAGGGTAGGTTCAACTGTATTACTTTCCCTGTTCAACAGAAACATAGAATAAGTGTTTGGTGTACCTTACAGTACCCTTGGCTACTGAAATTTAATACAATGGGGAAAGACTTAAAAGGAGAATGTACAGGTGCGATGACAAACCAGCATTCTTTTCAACTTTGCAATAGGACCTACATAAGCAATGGCTTTTTCGTGAAGCTATCCCATCTTTTTAGATTTCTATCTATCTGTCCATATTTCCTTCCATTTTCTACAAATCTAAATTAAAAGTTAAAACATAAATAACTTTGGTCACAATAATATAAAAACATTTGTGTGGAAAGAGCTGCTTGATATATCATACATACAGCATTTCTATGCATTCTGCGGTACTCCACCCATGGAGGTAGGATTAGAGTCCTGTTGACGGCTTTCGCAAATGCCAGAGAGCCCAGAAACTGATCTGCTTGGTTGCCAAAACGGCCTGCAATAAGGAAACAAGAAAACTGTAGAAGATACCCACAGTGTCTATTGAAATTCTCTCATGCCAACTCTTGTTGTCTGATGGTTTTAACTTAGTGATAAGAAAGGGGTGGACGTTGGAACAAACATCTAAACAATGGTCTTGCACAGCTACTGTCACTTTATTATAAGCAAGTAATCGTTTTCCTTTTTTCAGTTAATCTAAAAATTTAGACAATATGAAAACTCTGTTGATGATAGAAACCATTTGAACAGCAACCTTAATAATATTACATTAGTAATTAATTAAGAATAGCGATTTTGATAAGGTAATGCTATCAATTCATATCTTCATCAATTTCCCTCTCCCACAAACTGCTATTATTAAAAATGTTTTTGTCTTTAGTCTGTAATACTTGAGGGTTTGTTAGGCATGTCAACTGTTTGCGACACTAAAGCATGAATTCAAAGCAACATTACAGAAAGTGAACATACCCATGCAAGGACAATATACTATGTATCCATTTGGATCAACGTCAGAACCTGACGAGGCTACAATGCCAGCCATGTCAGAAAGTATCATAGAAAAGATGACTGTGAATGACCACCACACTCTCATATTTACTCTTTCAGGTCCACCAGTCTTCATTGTCTGCTCTGGTTCAATAATTCTGAAAAAAAACCAACAACCAACAACTAATTATGCAAATCCCTTTCATGAATACATAAAATTTAATTAAACACAATAATTTAGACCTACTTATATCTTCCTGCTGAAGTAGCTGTGTTTAACACTTCGTTAGCTAAGCTTAAATGCATCAACTTTTAGCACCAAATTGAAATCAAGGTCCTGGGCTCATGCCAGTCACCATGAATATCAGCATTACACAGATTAATGTCTGCTGTTATCCTCATTTTAACTTTTTGTATGAAGAATAAACACACGCTACTTTGATTGTACTAGCAACAGAGAACAATCAGACTGAAAATGGTATGACTTGATACAATAAGTTTAGGTACATTTGTATTGTAAGCGTAGAAAAGTTAAAAACCATCAATCTACAAACATGAACGATCACATTCACAGTGAAGGAAAAAATAAAAAGATATTAAGCAATTTCTAATTTATGAAAAGAAAAAAACCCCTTGAGTTCCTTATAACAAGGTATTATAACATTAACTTGTATAAGTTGCCACTTCTTTACCCCTTTCTCTGTGCCTTTCCCTCAGTCTTTATGTTCAAGCAGGTGATTTGTGTCTTTCCGCTTTGAGATCACTACGTATATATATATATATATATAATGTTGAAAACCCTGCCTACCATGCCCCCTGTTGTCACGGTCACTATTCTCCATGATTGTAGAGTCCCTTTGACTACAACTGAGAGCTCTGCCACCCATCACTACCCTCTGAGTCACCAGAGTCCTTTTTATCAAACCTGTGCTACATTCCCATACAATGAAAGTAAACGTTATGAAACACCTATTTATCCCAGCTTAAGATTGAGGAAAATTTCTGTAATTTACTGAAGCAGGGCAAGTCCAAGTACAAGACAAGACTAACCCCATTATAACAATTTTCAGTTAAAAAAGTGAAATCACTCAATTCAGTTACAAAGCTTGTCCGGTGATTGATATTTTGGATTTTGATTCAACAATGTTTTCAAACGGACTAATTAAGGGTATCAGTATCAGCCAAATTTCAAAGAATGGGAAAGAAGAAATCAAGTAGTCAAACTACACACTACATGCCCTATTTAAAGAAAGCTTTCTTCATCTATCAGCTCTCATTAGATATAGGATAATCTGGTTTTAGCCCCAACGATTACTATTACACTACTCAACAATCTAAATCCCTAGCCCTAACCCTAACACATATATATAAAGTTACTATACTACAGAATACTGAGTACATGTATGTATCTAGCTTATTATTATTATTGTTTATATTGCTGTTCATTGTGTCATGAAGGGGTGGAATCAGGTGTTCGTCTGATTATGGGTATCATTTTAAAGCTTGATCATTTGTCTTGTTTTCGTTGACAAAAATACTCATCTGTCATGAATAGAAGTCGAGATATTTGCGATTGAAGGAGGTGGGGGTCGCCTGGCTTTGGATCTATGAGAAAATGGCAGCTAAAGTTTGGTGACTTCCAAAGCTTAGAGCAAAGTCTTTAGAAAAAGCAAATTTACATTTTTGTGCCTCAAATCAACATTTTTCAGTGAAATCTACAAAAATGTGTTTTTAAATGGACCTTAAAGGTGTTGAGACAAAATTTAAAAAATTGATAATATGAAAAAAAGGAAGTGCCTATTTGCAACCCCGCGTTGCCATTAGCACCAGTGATAAATAAAAGCTGCGTTGCGATTAGCGCCAGTGCTAAATAAAACACAGTGCCTCCGTGTAGGGCTTAATCTACCTTTCGAGTTGGGAGTTCTGATGGCCGAATTGACAGCACGTCTGCATATGAAGTCAAACAATCATTTTATGAGCGTGGATTCGAATCCCGGTCCAAGAAGTTAAAAAAAAAAAATTTCTTACTAAACTCTTCCCGACTGACCAACAATTTTTTCCCATTAAATTATAATAACTTGTTGCTTTGTAGCTTTTTATGTAGTGATGAAGCATGCACATTCTGGTTTTGTCCCCAAGACCAAGAAGAGCTTTTATCTAGGCCTGGTTAAAGTTCAATAGCTCTGCTTACCGAGTTGCACCGTTTTGTTATGGTTAAAATCCAAGCGTCTTTTGACTTACTAGCTCAAACTCAAACTGAAAAGATTATGATTTATGAGAAATGAATAGACTAGATCTAGAATCTACTTTTGCGCAAACAATGCCAGAAACAATGGTCTAGATCTACCCAATACAGATCGGAATAAGACAACGTCGCAAAAAAAAAGGAGTCAAATCCAAGGAGGTTTATCAAGAAACTGAGAAAGCTTCCACAATTCAGGCAGAACTAGATTCTACAATATTATTAGGAAGAAACGATGGCTACTAGATCTAAATCTAGTACTGGCGTTTCAAATAGAGCACTATTCAGAACGTAGCGTTTCAAATAGCACGGGAGCTATTCAGAACGCAGCGTTGCAAATAGCGCCAGCCTGTGAAAATTGCCAAACGGACAGAAAAATGGGCGTTTTTCGGTAGTTCCCCGTAATTGTTATTCGCTGGTTTTGGTCCTCAGAGTAGGGGTGTTTCAAGCCCCCCCCCCCTGACCTAATAAAAATATGGTTGGGGGTTTCAAGGGGACATGCTCCCCTGAATTTTAACATAATTTGACGTTTTGCAGTTGTTAGCTTTGATATCTTAGCTCGCCGCGCATCAAAAGTATAGATCTAGAGGTAGATCAAACGGGGTGGGGGTGGGGGGTGGGGGGAACTACCGAATAAGCACTGAAAAATGCTAGTTTCTTCGATTTCATTACTTTGACGAGCGCCTGATTTCAACATGATACCTCACATATTATGCATGCCATTGTGAGCCTGTTTGTGAGTACAGTTATACTGTACATTAGATCTATTATATATAATTATATTTTTATGGTTGGGCCTAGATCTATGTGCACGGATGGATCTGTGTGGAAGAGAGGAAGTGTACCAATTTAAATTCTTTACTCCCACAGAGCAGGAGGGGGGCTCTCGTGGCCTAGAGGTTAAGGTGTTGGCCTCTCATTCAAAAGGTCCCGGGTTCGAATCCGGGTAGTGACCGAAAAATTTTATTCTCTAAATTTGTCTCCTTTCACCTCATTTCCTGCTCTCTAGCAATGTTCTGTCGTCCGCTTTCGTCTCCTCTTTCTGCTAGTGGTGGGCGGTACTGGCGAAATCCAGTCTCGGTACTTTCTCGGCACCAGGTGCCGAGAACCGCCAGTACCGGCACCGGTACCGGTACTGGGAGTGACACCAGTAGGTGACGTCACAGACTTCGCGTCTTGCGTCTAACGCCACGATCAGCGCACACCCCCCCCCCCCCCCACACACACCAGTCAAAATTGGAGAGGCGAACTGTGACGCAAAATATCTTTGAAGTTTGCCGCCGCGTGGGATTAAACTTTGCAAGCAGAACTTTAAAAATAGTTATCGTCGCTAAAAATTGATTTCATTTTCGGAATCAGCGTATCAAAATAAGCAAAGTGCCTCGCGGTGAACTTGATTTGAAGCCATATTATAAATTTAAGCAAACTTCGTTTTTGATTGTCAATTTTGAATCTGAAGTCCTGTATCAAGGTCACCCGCTGCGTTGTGTGCATCTGACGTCACAGCTGCTAGGCATAAGCCTACACACTGCACACTACCCGTGGCCCGGTAAGAAAAAAACCCCGTCGCGTCGGCTCCTTCTCAGAGCCGGTATTAACCGTTGGTGTCGGCTCCTTCCCAGAGCCGGTACTGGAGGCCAGGTGCCGGTACTGACACCGCCCTCGGTAGAGCCGGGAGTTCCGGTACTGGGTACCGGTACCTGCCCATCCCTACTTTCTGCCCCCACCCCCTCACCTCCTTTGCCCCTTCCTCTAGGCTCCTGATTCTTTCTGCAGCCTTTCTACTATTCTACTGCTACTCCTTCGCTTTTTCTTACTGCTGTCTTTCAGCCACACCCCTGATCTTCTGGTAGTGGTAGGAAAGATCTACACCAAGCCTTCTCGGACAAGGGCGAAAAATCTCGGAGGGCCCGTGTGCAAGTTACGCACGTTTAAGATCCCTTGGTGGTCTAAAATCGATAAGAGTAGGCTTAGGCCGCCACCCGGGCAAAATTCAAAATTTCCTACCAACTGAAAATATTAGGTGTGTCCCGCGCGCTCATAGATCTATGACCTAATGCACAAAACAGAACAGGAGCGTGAAAGAAATCAGCGCTTTTTTGGTAGATCTAGTTCCCACACCACTTATTGGAGCCTAGAATCTAGGCTAGATCTAGATTCTATACGTTTGATCCGCGGCGAGCTAAGACATCAAAGCTAACAACTGCAAAACATTAAATTATGGTAAAATTAAGGGTGTCTTGGGGCCAAAACCGGCGAATAACAGTAGGGGGGTGAAAAGTGCCGAGAGATCTCCATGCTGCTAGTAGAATCTAAATGCATTATTTACTTGCATGCAGTACTCACATTTATTATCCTGATGTGCGAATAAATTCATCTAAATCTAGACTACACATAAGATTATATAAAACAGAAATACTTCGGTTGAGTTGACTGCTAAACAAACAAAAATGTCACGATTGACGACGTCTGTTCCCGAGTGACGAGTGACGAGTGAGTACTGGAGTGAGGAGAAGGCGTTGACACCAGTATAAGCAGTCAATCAGAGAGAATGCTTACAAACGTGCAATATTCTTTTCGTGGTAAACTAAGAGTGTGTTACACCCAAAGGATAACGTATACTTTTTCGTGTTTGATAGCGCTTGAAAAATGCAAGATTTTTTTTTTTTGAAGAAGATAACCAAAAGCAGCTGAAAGGAGTTTTAGGGGCTCTTGTGTTTTCTTTAAGTGTTTGAAAAACTAATTATTTATTCTTATTTTATTTATTCATAAAAATGAAAAAGAGAGAAAAGGGTAAGTAAGCACACAGAAAAGAAACGGAGCATTAAAAAAAAAGAAAAGAAAGGGGGACGCCCACACCCCCCCTTTACTGTAAAATCACCCGGTAACTATAAAGGCGCGTCATTTTTCTCCCCCCCCATTCTTTTTTTTTTTCCCTTCTCCCCTCTCTCTCTCTCTCTCTCTCTCCTGGGTGGACCCCCCCACACACACACACACCACCCACCCACACCCACACACACACCTTTACACTCACACACACACACACACACACACACACACATTTTCGGGCAAATACATACTGGACTAGGCAGAGAAAGTCAACCATAACTTCTGCGGCCCGTTCTTCTTGGCATTTGGATTGTAATGAAATGCACCCCCACCCTTTCCCCTAAAAAAATTTAAAAAGCTACCAAAGATCAGAACCTCCACAAAAGAATATCCATATATGGGAATAGATCGTTGACTCTCACCAAATCAGTGGTGTTCTGAACAGAGAAGTGCCTAAATTTAAAGATTCCATTTTTTAAATTGTGCGCGTACGACTCCACGCGCATGGGTTTAACATCCTTCTCTGTCCACTGGTCTGATATTACTTTAATTATGAGATAAGGCCTTCAAATAAGGAAAAAACAAAACAACAAAAAACAAATTCATCTTCATCAAAGCCTTATGCGACTTCTATATCAACATAAATTTTTGTAAAACTAAAACGGATAATTCTAAATTTAGAAAGTGATAACATAACCAAAGTTTGTAATTTTGTTTTGCCAGTGCCAACACCTTTGGGCTAGTTATATAACAATAAGAAATTTATCTTTGTGGGCAATACAAGATATAGTTTGATGACAGATTCTATGATTTAGAAGAAAACCCATTTCTTGATGCATGTCACAGCTAGTAACATTATAAAACAAGCATAAATCTGTTCATTGCGCACGGGAGTCTGTTGTTGTTGTTGTTGTTGCTGCTGCTGCTGCTGCTGCTGCTGCTGCTGCTGCTGCTGCTGCTGCTGCTGCTGCTGTTGTTGTTGTGGTGGTGGTTGTTGTTGTTGTCATTGATCCAGTAACAGTTGAGCCCTCGCCCTTCTGTCCAATGCCATGTGGTGAAAAGTGCAGGTTTGCTGCAGTTGATGTAATGTTCCACAGAGCGTGTTGTCAATGTTAAGTCTATGATGTAGACTAGCAGTCGATTCCCGAATGGGATGTTTTCCCTCAATATCTCGGTCTTTTTGCTGGAATGTTGTATCCCTCTCAACCCAAGTTGGCTCTGACAAGCAGGATAGAAGCTGTCTCTTAATTTAAATTATCTAGATTATATATATAATATTATATCGATAGGAGCGTAAAAACACCTACATTAAAATATTAGTTGTACAACCGAGTCATCACACGTGAACAAAAAAACAAAACAACAAAAAACAAACAAACAAACAAAAAAACAACAACATCCAAGACCTGAGATCAGCCGAAAAAGAAATGACTTTATTCATAGCTTTTATAAATCAGATACCAAAGATGATACTTAGTTTGTGACATTAGCATTGAAAGAAAATCAAAATGACACAAAACCCCCTCCGACAAGCTAAAAAACAAAACAGAATTTAGCTTGTTTAACAATGTTTATACCTTTTTCCTTCTGAAAGATATGACAAGTTTTGAGGTCTTACCATGCAGTTTCACAAGCAATACCAGTAACAGTGACTCTGGTCTGTGTCTGTCTTTAAACGTATGTGTTTTTACGCCTCCATCGACATTTACGTTCCCTGACAACCGAGGTAAAATAAATTGTTGCAGATTGTTGGACCATGTGTCTCGTCTTTGAAAAAGCTTTTAACGCTTGAAATTTTTACAGTAATAGCAACTGCAACAACAACACAAAATTAGCTAACCAACAAAAACAACAAAAATAGAAATATTAAATAAAATAAAATCCCACTCCCAACCCCCCCAAACAAAATAACATCCACAATAATAATAACAGCAGCAGCACCAGCAAGAGCAACAACAACAAAAACAATAATAACCATAGCCAATCAGGTTTTTTCAAGGGAGTTAATTTGCATATATATAGTAATGACTGCAACAATGTCAAACGTTAATTGAAAAAGCGTATTATAAAATGCATAGCAATAGCATTAACAAAGACAACACGTTAAGCAAGAGGGATATTTTTCACAACCATAGCAACAACAGCAAACTATGACAGACAAAACTATAACAACAATAATAACAACCACCCCC